TTATGCGGATAAGAGGGATGTAAGAACTCTTGAACATCAGTTGGGCCAGCTGGCTCGAATGTGGATTCCTTTTATGCGAGCGTCAACCATCAATTCTCTTTGATTATTAATAAGATAAAGACAGAGGAGTATTCTCAGGAGACAGTTAATGCGCTCATAGAAACATATCGTAACCGGGCTCTGGACGTATTTATAAGAGGTTTGGATGGGGAGCTATCACGAATGTTGATAGTGCAAAAGCCCAAGACCCTTCCGGAGGCTTACACTGCTTGCTTGGACATACAGAATCTGAATTTCCGACAACGACCTATACATAGTTCTAATGTGAGCCATGCTAGGAACAGGATGGTTCCAAGGGAACGGAGCCACTATGGTTTTAGTCAGCATGGATTGAACAGACCTCAACTACACGGTACGGTTGAGAAAATGGAGGTTGATCCAACTACGCAAACCCGCAGAACCTCTTACGCGAGTAACCAGCACCAGGGAGATCCAATGCTCTATCCCGTCTATCGAGATTGAAGACTCATGTGAATGTCATTACTAGCTCTGAGACAGATACGGCTAGCGAGGGGAATTCAGAGACGATAACTGCAACCGAGGGAGGCTCTACCGCCGCTACAGTGCATAGCGCTGAGATGCCTCCGACCTTATTCCACATGTTGAGGTTCCGCTGAATGTCTTTAGAAATCAGATTGTATTTAGGAAGCGGTATAAGAAGGAGGTTGTATCCCATGAAGGAAGAGTAATCTTGACTACTGAAACGGGTAAAAAATTTCACAAATGTCATGTTAAGAATGTTTAGAAATGATGGAATGTTAAGGAATCCATGGTAAGAGGGCTATTAAAATGTTGAGAGGAAGAACATATTTAACATCTGGACGAGAATGAGAAGTATATACATTGTAATCATTATTTTAGTTTAGCCTTAGTAGCGACAACGCGTGGCGCCCAGATTTATCAATATGATGCACCCCTTATATCTGTGAAGGATGGAACCGGTCGCATTACCAACGGTCACTTCAAGCTTGTCCACATGATAGACCTAGACCGATACAGGGAGCTCGTCAAGGAAATAGCAGCTACAGTCAAATCAACAATGCGAGACCCACAGAGAGCCCAGACAGTTGATTTTCGCCTACATCAGATCAGTAATCGCCTAAGTAGTCTTGGCGGAAAATCTACCAGGGTATTGCGCTCCATTGACTGGATTGGATCAGCTTGGAAATGGGTGGCTGGATCACCAGACGCAGCCGATTGGAATAGAATTCTCAGTAGCGAGAACGAGATCATCGAGAACAACAACCACCAGTACAAGATTAACGGAAAACTTTTTTCTAAAATGGAGGCGGTACTGCTGAAGGTCAATCGTATTATCGACGAATTTAAAAACCACATCGACCCTGCCAACACGGATCGACTAGAATTAGGTCTACTGGACCAAATCTCCATAATTAGTGAGGAAGTCGGCGAAATCGTTAGAGCCTGTCAGCTGGTCAAGAGCAGGATAATTAATACGAATATAGTTGACAGGGAGGAAATCAATAGGATCCTTGCTGAGATGGAGACACTCCCCTACGAGAATGAGATAGAAGCTATCGAACACGGTACTCCCTCGATTTATGTGAACGGGTCTATGCTTCTTTATATTGTGTCTATGCCGAAGTTAGGAAGGAGGGACTATAACCTACTACACACAAGAGCTTCGATCCTCGATGGCAAGAGGATTGACATCGAATATAAAAAGATGCTGGTTAATCAGGATGAGACTTATGGAATAACGGGCAGCTGTTCGTCCACCAACAACTTTACCGTTTGTGAAATGTCCGACTTGGAAGGACTAGAGGACGACGATTGTGTTCCAAACTTATTGAAAGGAGGGGACGCTAAATGCCGATACCGTACGGGTAACCAGACCATTTTGGAGCTTGTGAAGGAAGGCACGATATTCGTCACAAACTACGTGGGAGAATTGCGATCCGATGGCACAACGAGACAGTTGAACGGAACCTACGTGATCCAGTTTTATAACGAGACAATCGAACTTGATGACAAAATATTCTCTAACGTTCTAGCGACTTCAGGTGCTTCCACCTGTCTTATCTAAGGTGATAAGTCAGGGCAACAGGGTTGACATCGATTACCTTCATGAACTAAGCATTACAAACATCAAGCGACTCAAACAACTCACACAAGGGGTTCAAGCCGGCGGAATTCCCAGTTTTTTCATTTTGGTGCTTCTCATAATGGCAATTGGTTACCTTTGGAAAAAGGTCAATGGTAGAGTGACCTTACCAGATGTCGGACCTAGGCCACTGGGAACAGATCCTCCCAACATTTGTTAACATCTACGGGACGTAGATTTTTGAGGGGGAAGAGTTAACACGGCCACTCTCCCTGCAACGCGTGTAGATTTGCTGACATTGCACACGCGCTGCATTTGTGCAATCGCCCAACTATTCTTTGGCTGCACGTGTACTTTTGGTTGCGCGTGTACTTTTGGCTGACCATGCACACGCGCCTCATTGTCATTGACACCACCCCAATTACCATTGCATACCTGCCGACTAAGCAGAGGCCATCGTGGGAACTACGGGCGACTGCTGGCGCGCTGTCGCTTACCTTAGAATAAGTAGAATGTAATTTAGTTAGTCTTCAATTCACATTGAAAAGGAACAGTCAATAAATCGATTGTATTTGGATATTAAATCAAACGAGTGTAATCATATATTTATATATATATACATATATATATATATATATATATATATATATATATATATATATATATATATATATATTTATATATATATATATATATATATATATATATATATATATATATATATATATATATACCGTAGTTGTCTCAAATTACGTATTAAGAGTTTGGGAACTGCAGTCTGTGACAGAAATTTGTCTATGCAGATCCAGGTCTTCGTATCGGCCCTATATATCTGTACCTCCCTTTAATACTCACAATATACTGTCGTAATTGAACTTCGTTATGGAAGCTAAACCTTGTGACAGAAAATTGTCTATCAGGTCCAGGTCTTCGTATAGCTTCGATATAACGGTACCTCCCTATATACGGTATTTTGATGATTTTAGCTATTTTATTCACCGTCTATTTCAAGTTTCGAATTTGATTATGGTAATGGCGTATAACAAACAATGCCTATGTACGTCCACGTCGTATAGACCCCAATATAACGGCTGTATTCGGTATTTTTAAGATTTTAACAGAATTTTTAAGGGATTTTATTTTTTGAAAATGTCTAAATTTCTTCAAATGGTGGAGGGTACTCAAAGTTCGGCCCGGTCGAACTTACTGCTTTTTAACTTGTTTACATCTTAAAGGCTTATGGTCTTGCAACTTCTAAGCTTATCAATGAAACAGAATAGTTAGTTTTTCAAAAATTTTTTTATTTTTGAATATAATGTCTTGAAACTTCAATAAATTAATCCAACGCTTTTCTAGCAATTCTATCCCTTGATTAAAATAGTTTTCGGCAAGGTCTTCAAAAAACAAACAACTGTAACTGCATCATCGTTTCAGGTAAAACGCTTGCCCGCATTGAATTTTTTAGATTTGGGAACAAGTAAACGCCATTGGGAGTTAAATCAGGAGAATCAGGTGGGTGGTCAAGCAACTCGTACTTTAATTCGTTCATTTAAGCCATTGTTAAAAAACTCTTGTGCGCTGGTGCGTTGTCTTGATGAAAAAATATTTTTTTGTGTTGTAAGCCAAGACGTTTTTCCCCGAATTTGTACATTTAATTGATCCAAAAGGTTGCAATAGTACTCTGAATTTATTGTTTTACCCTTTAGCCCCAAAAAACCGTTGCCATAACCTTACCAGCCGATTGAATTGTTTTTGCCTTCTTTGGAGTAAAATAGTGGATCCATGTCTCATCAACAGATATGAAACGACGCTTAAAATCCATTTTATTTTATTTCGCTTAAAACGATCCAAACAAGCTTTAGAAATGTTCATTCTTATGCGTTTTTGATCGACTGTTAACAAATGCGGCACAAATCTTACAGAAATCTTTTTCATCTGTATTTCTTCATGCAAAATTAAATTGGCTTGATCATTTGAGATATCCATAATATTAACAATTTCACTCACTTTTATTCGTCGATCATTTAATACCATATCATGCACTTTGGGTATAATTTATGTTGTTGTTGTTGTTTTTGGACGTCCATTAGGTGGTTCATCTTCAATGCTTGTAGGACCACGTTCAAATTCAAATACAAGAGAGATAGAAGTTTCCAAAAAACTTGACTTTTTCTATTTATACCCCGCTTTTTGTGCTTGGCTAAGAGGATTCCGAACTGCCCTCGTATCTCTAATCGTAATTTTACAGTATGTAAGAAAGTTTACTTAATTTTCTTCGATTTACGAAATAATTTCGTCCAATTATAATAATGAGAAAATTAAACTGAATAGATGGAATATGCGGCCGTCAATGTCGGGAGAAATGTATTGCGTTTATATTGTACTAGCTGAACCCAGTGCGCTCGCTACCTGGAATTGTATTTGCTGCATAAAATACATGACATCGGCCGAAATATATATATATATATATATATATATATATATATATATATATATATATATATATATATATATATATATATATATAGAACCTATATCCAAATCTGAACCAATTCAATATAATCTGTCAATTTATGACATATCGTGTTTGGAGCACCAAATATGTGAAGTCGGCCGAAAATATATATGGGAGCTATTTAAATCTTAACCGATTTCAATATAATTTGAAAAATTTATTTCTGTACCAAATTCCGCCACACATTTTGAATTTTATTGGAATCGGACATACACATCGCGTTGGGTGCATCAAATATGTAAAGTCGGCCGAAAATATATATGGGAGCTATATCCAAATCTGAATATAATTTGACTAATTTAACAAACAAAAAAGGAAACATTTTCCTCTTTTATAGATATAGATAGAAGATCTACTTACCTGACTAAAAATGGGTTTATCCAGCCAGTAATAATTGGGTTTGTTGCTGCGATAGCTACTTTCTCGTTCTGCAAATGAGGTGGCAAAAGGTTTGATAGTTTTAGTGCGCCATATTTAATGCGCATTCTGGACATTGAGGCTGCCAACTTCCTTCTACATTTCCACAAGCAATCAGATATATCTGAAAAAAATGAGTGCATATTAAGTTACTTATGTACATTATGGCTTATAACATACAGAGTATCTGGATTCAAATTGTCTTTCACTTTCGGTTGGATAATAAAGTTAAAGTTATGAAAACACAATGAAATGTATGGGGGCTATATGGGGGCATGTACTACCAAAAGGATTGCCTAACCGGAATCAAAATACTGAATATCGGTGGGTACCGTTACATGGAATCGTGGTCTACTATGTTTTCACACTGGAAATGTCCTGCCAACGGAGCTAGAACCGCTACGAACTACAAAAACAACATTTTAGACTAATCCGAATGTCCGAAGGTACAACCAGGAGCGCTTCGCTATCCTTTCTGATTTTATATGCACTCAATATTTTATATAGGAATATTTTGTGATTTTTAATTAGAAAGAAAACAATTTCAGGAATATAACAAGAAAAAAGTAGTAAGTTCGGCCGGGCTAAACTTTGAATACCCTCCACCATTTGGAACGAATTTAGAAATTATCGAAAACGATAACATTCGTCAATAATTCTGTTAACATCTTAAAAATACCGACTATAGCCGTTATATTAGGACCTGCACGACGTGGACTTACATAGGCATTGTTTGTCATTAGCCATTACCATATTTAAATTCGAAACTTGAAATAAACGGTGATAATGTAGCTAAAATCATCAAATTCCGTATATAGGGAGGTACCGTTATATCGGAGCTATACGAAGACCTGAACCTGTATAGACAATTTTCTGTCACAGGCTGTAGCTTCCATAACGAACTTCAAATACGACATCTCAAACAATTTCGGTGAGTATTGTACCTAAAATCGTCAAAATACCTAATACAGGAAGGTACTGATATATGGGGCCTATACGAAGACCTGGACCTGTATAGACAATTTTCTGTCACAGACTGTAGTTCCCATTACGAACTACGGTGAATAATGACGCTAAAATCATTAAAATACCGAATATTGGGAGGTATCGTTATATGGGGGCTATTCGAAGACTTGGACCTGCATTGACAATTTTCTGCCTTAGGCTGTAGCATCCATCATGAACTTCAAACACCAAATTTGAAACAATTCCGGTGAATAATGTTGCTAAAATCATCAAAATACCGAATATACGGAGGTACCGTTAGATGGGGGCTATATGAAAACGTGGATATTTACGAACTTTTCCTACCTATTGGCAAAATAAACATGTGTGCAAAATTTTAGACTTCTATCTTAATTCGTTCGAAATATAGCGTGATTACAACAGACAGACGGGCATACAGACGGACAGACAGACAGACAGACGGACATGGCTAAATCGTCTTAGAATTTTACGCTGATCAAGAATATATATACTTTGTTGGGTCTGACGTGATTATTTCGAAGAGTTACAAACAGTATGACAAAATTAATATACCCTTTACAGTGTGGTGGAGGGTATAAAAAAGGTTTTAATTATTATTCTTTAGAATATACGACGTTTTTTTGTTTTTCTTTCAGAAGGGTGAACAATCAATCGTTTGGTCAACAAACATGTGAATAAAAAGAAGAAAAATTCAGGCGTATAAAAAACGTTTTAATTATTATTCTTTAGAATAGACAACGGTTTCTTTCCTTCAGTCCGCATACAGGTCCACGATATCATATATATATATATATATATATATATATAACGGTAACCCCCTATATTCGGATCACCCTATAACGGTATGAACCCCCTCTCCGTATTTGGTATTTCGATGATTTTATCCATATTTTTCAACGGAATTGTCTGAAAATTTACACAAGGAATTCCTTTTGAGTCTTTGTATAAGTCCACGATATCGTATTGCCCAATATAACGATACCCCCGATATTCGGTATTTTGATGATTTCAGCCAAAATTTTCAATGGAATTGTTTTAAAATCCACAAAACGAATTCCTTAAAAGTACTTTACATACTTAGAAGAGAATTATCTAAATAGTTCCACTTTTTAGTATAGCGCCCATATAACGGTACCCCCAGATATTCGTTATTGCCATGATTTTGCAACACAATTCACAGAAATTTGTCAAATTTCGTAACAGTTCGGAACAGCTAATACAGCCTATGACACAAATTACTTAAGCAGGACCACATCTTCGGGTGGTATTTTCCGACGGAATTTTCTTGATTTTTTTTAAGTTTCTTCCTGCTGCTTTTTTACTTGTTACTATTAGCCTAACACTATTATAAAGGCGTGTTGGTCTATGTTTCCTTATAAAATAATATCTAAATCTGAACCGATTTTAATATAATTTGACAACAAATATTTTTATACCAAATTCCGTCACAAATGTCATACTACATTGATATTTGACATACATAGCATGTTTAGTGCATCAAATACATGAAATCGGCCGAAAAAAAATATATGGGAGCTATGTCCAAATCTGCAGCTATTTCAACATAATTTGGCAAATTCATTTTTGCGCCAAATTTCGTTACTCATTCCGAATTTTATTAGAATAGGACCTATATATCGGGTTTGGTGCATAAAATATGTGAACGCGGCCGAAAATATGTATGCTAGCAAAACATTACCTATTTCAATATAATTAGATAATATGATAATGATTTACTTTTTGTACAAAATTCTGCTACACAATCCCAATTTGAAGACTGTATATCTAACGAAATAATAGATGTGTCTTTACAAAATCTAGAATTCTGATTCTAATGCTATATCTCCAGTTCCAAGTTAAATTACACCAATTTATATAGCCTATGTTATTTTCATGCGATGCTGTAATATGTCTGTTCAGCGGTTTTTGCGTCTATATAATTACCCACGAAAAAATTTTTCCTATTTTATAGATATACTAGCTGGCCCGATCCGCGTTGCCAGCCCGTAGTTTAATGCATTGTATTTAAAGTATAATAATTCACAGGTCTGGCTCGCATAAGTAGCACAATTGTTAGTATAAATAATGACTCGACTGAATAGAAATAAATACGTATCACAAAAATGTCAATACAGGTTCACGTAATGGGCAATTTATAGTGTTTCAAAAAACCTGATCCTATTTTTCAGGCAGAGATTTAAATTTGAGAATCAAAAACCTAAATAATAAGTCATATATTTAAAAAAGTATACATCAAATGTTTATAATAGCCCATGTAAGATAGTTCTCTAACCCCATATTAGCCTAAACACACATTTTAAGCCAAATCGATTCGAAAATATAATCAAAACCCCCGAAATAGGTGAAATCAGGAGGTACTTTTATGTGGGCGCGTCTCCAAAACATTGACATTGAAAAAGCTACCATGCCAAATAAGGGTAAAATCAATTGAAAAATGTGACCAACATTTGAAGACTTTGAATAGGGCGGTATCATTAAAGGGGGGCTGTATCACAATGCAGACCCACCTGATACATATTTTGTACATGTTCGCGGAAGAAATGTACGCACCGTTGGAATATTTTTACCACACTGAATTTATTTATTAAAAATATTTCTTAAGAACTAGTTATGATAATATGACTTAACCTAAATTATCATTAAGTGTAAATGAGAGAGAGATAGATTCTAACTGTACACATGCATATGCACCGTGCCACCATAAACCTTAGGAGGAGGTCATACACACACATAGCTATCTTACATGTGGCAAGCAAACATGCTGCACTTGCTTATCAGTCTGAGTAAAGATTACATCCCATAATCTAACTCCACCATAACACATGCAGCAATTGAAAATTCTGTATTATTTATTTCTAAATCGAAGGTCTGCTCACTACAGTTTCTTATCTTATTTAAAGACCCCCACATGCTTGCCCCTTTGGTGTTTGTATTTATTTGTGGACTGTACATTTGTTAACAATAGATTTCCTTTCCACAACTTATCTCCTCTATTCAACTAAAATAATTTTATGAAATCTGTTCACTCATCCGTGAACATCTTCCCCGGGGCTTATTTACCCCCATAATTTCCATCATCTTTATAATCTACTTCCTGTTTCTTCACGTGGTTTTGGTACATCTAAATTTATCCTAACTAATGCCCTTTTCATTTTATACTTATTTTTAATGTTTAATACTACTGCTATTAAAACGAATGTAAGTACTATAATTAATGACGCCATGCCGCTATGATGATGAAAATCCAGTCCTCTAAGGTTCAGCTTCGTCTTCTTCAACTCAGCGATTTCTTTAAGCAGTCCTTGCATGGTATCCGTATGGTTAATCCTCATATCATTCAGTGGACCCATATTAAATGCAGTTATCTCGGTAACATTGGTGATCAACATCATCTTGTTATCCACAATTCGCTCCGACTTCAATTGTACCGGTGCAGAAATTAAAACACCTTTGATACGCAGAGTACATCCAGGTTGCAATTCCACTATCCCTTGAAGTGGCAATTTCATTATCATTTGACCTCCTGGATTACATTGCAGATGTGCCGACGTAATGTTGAAAGAACTAACTAGCCAACTGTTCGATGCATGTAACTTTGTCCATAGATGTTCAAGCTGTGTTGTTGTAAATTGACATCTGTGGCTATTGAGAGGCTTTATCGACGACACTTCACATGAGTTGTCATTTGCGTCTATCCACGGCCATCCTCCTTGACATACATATTTATTTTCTGCTAATCGCTGACATCCGTTTAGCTCCGCTTGTGACATCAAGTGGTAAGCATCCGCATTATAATTGTATATAAGAAACTGGTTCCTCGATGTGGCTATCATCTTCGTTCCTTCAAACATAAACGGAATCGGAAAAACTTTGTACAGCTGAGACACTTGGTCATTGAAGAGAGGAATAGATACAGCAATCACCAAGTCATTTTTCAACGTAGTAGCTCTGGCAGTCAACAGTTTATAAATTGTCCGCAACTGATCATCCTTCTTCCCTGGTAGCTTCAAGTGGTCTGGTATATGCTGTCTGATGTGGTTTACTGCGTCTTGCAATTGTGCTGGAGTGAGGAGCGCTGTATTCAATTTCCCGTGGTTTATATCAATCAGCAACTCA